TAATGTATTTCAACTTTTTTCTAACCCTTTATCACACTTGTCATAAAAGGCTTTATTTAGAAAAGTGTCTGAAGGAGGAACATCTTCATCTTCAACCAGAATCTTCCTTCTATCCCTCTATACTTTAATGGGAGATAGCAATAAATCATTTATTTTTTCTATGGGCAGTAATAAGAGTCCACCGTTTAGACACTGATCTATACATCCCAATGAGCCAAAACAATTCATCTATCATAGATTTGACATTAGCAAACCCTCCATGTCTTCTTTGATTCCCAGTTGGACAATATTTTGTAATCAGCAAAGATCTACACACTTCAGAGACTACAACACAATTCTAGAAGAAAACATTGGGAGAAAATATGGTACCTATAACAGGGTATTTGCTTTGGGCGACATGAAAGGTGGAAAGTTACTAAACAAGATGACTGGAAAATACAAATCCCAGCATGCTCTGCTTGTTTGTGGTCTTATAGTAAACAGACGATGTACATTGGACTGCTACATTGTACAATTTTTCATACGAGAATATCATAATATATCTGTCCGTATTCCTGTGGTTGCTCATTTTTAATACACAACTCTTCTAGAACCAAGAACTGGAAGATGCAAACCATGCATAAGAGAGAAAAGTATGCACAAGACATTTAAAATGATGAATTAACTGTATTTCCTTTGAAGTTCAACATTCCTTAGCTGTTAACATAAAGCTTTGTTATCAGCTTTGCTAGGACAGGTCTATAAACTGTAATAGAAGGCCCACATTTTGACCTTTCCTGCGGAAAAGGCTGCTTCAGTTTCTGTTCAGTGATGGCCACATATGTGAGGGCCTGGGCACTAGCTCATGTGACCCCTGCTGATGGGCAGGGTCAGAGTGCAGGCTAAATGATGTTCAACATTAGAAGAGATCACATGACCAAGTGCCTATACCTTTATGCATGTGATCTACTTTACATGCCAAAATTCCATTAGACCTTACCCTTCCATATTTAAAAATAAAATGTGCTTAAGTCAGGGTGACTCCAGAGGCCTTTTTGCTCTGTACATACTGTATAGGGGCTCCATATGTTTGCAGATCTCTTATGGCAACCAGCACTATTTTAAAACAGTATCAGAAGGACAGACAACCATGTCTTATTATAATAAAAGTGGTAATAAACTAGGACTGAGATAATACACAACAATTATGTTGCAGGTAAGATCATAAAGGTGAACTTGTCTTTTTAAAGGAACCTTTGGCAACCTTTAATACAGCTTATCGCCCTTTCACAAGCTCAGTTACATCTCCCCTAAGCAGCACATGTGCAGTTGATAGGCTGGTAAACTGGAGAAACTGCAGAATAATAACAAGAGAATGGAAGAAATACATAGTAAAAAATATGCAAAAGGTAACAAGTGACCAGGTAGATGTTGTGTAGAATGAATTACAAGATGGCGATTATGGGGGGGAAAGGGGACATCCAAGTTGTACCCAGATGTCTGTCCATGTTTTATACACGCTGTCTGGCTCTGAGGTCTTGGAGGTAATATGAAGACATTCAGTCATCTAATAGACCCAGCAGACAGGAACCCACTGGGGCTCAGTGCGCAGTTTCTCAAGAGCCACCTGCAGCTCATGGAAACTCTTATCCAGATCTGAGTTCACCAGACTAAGGTCAAAGTAATGGCCATATGCTTGCTGGAGCCGTTCACTTTCCTCCACGATGCGCAGGAGCTCACCATCCTGTAGGAAAAGGACAACCTGCCTTAAAATCTCTTCTGCAAATAAGGCCACCAGGAACATATATAAAAAAATACTAATCAGGGATAAGCGAGCATTGGAATACATTTTTATAAGCTTGTCACAAAAGTTTTAGTTGGTCAGATTACATTTGACTCCCCAAAAGCTACTGCTTAACCCTTGGTGAAGCCCTCTTCTAATGAATTCTAGCTCTTTCATTGAGGTAGGCAGCTTCAGTTAGTGGTCCACCAAGAGCAAGTATGGTAAAATATCTAATTTTTCTTGGGTACAACAGTATACTAAATCAATTAACGAATTTGGTTAGTAGATAGTGATAGGATAATTAAGGTTCCTACTGCCAACAGTAATGGACGATCCAACCCAGGGCCTCCATACCTTATCAAGATAACTTGGACTTCCTGTGGCATAAAATGTAGGGGTGAATAACAGTTAATCAGTTGAATCGATTGTGATAGTGGGACTATTTACATTTTTCTAGCTATAGCTATTATCTTCCTGGTATAGAAAAACAATAACTTTACAAGGGTTCAATTGTGTATACTAGAAACCCTATGATTGATGATCCTTAAAACACTTAATTGCACTCTTCTTTTACATACTTTTCATTTACATCATTTTTTTTACTGTTTTTATGTGTTCTATGTGTAGAGATCATATCAAACCCAGAACTCTATGCTACAATACCTGTATAATATAAGGTTCTCCAATGCCATGAAAGAAAAAACTCATCTCTCAGAGGCTTTTGAAGGGTTTTTTATAATCACTGGCCTTCATTTTACACAAGTACACAGGTATATAGTTTGTCCTGTACAGGTTACAATTTACAGGGGTCTCTTGACTTTATAGAGCACCAAGAATGACAAATATAAGCCCTTCTATATCCCAATGAAATTTTGCTTTTTTTGTACGTGTGAGTCTCTTGGAGGGCCCTTACTAAAATGGATCTGTGTTCAAGTCATATATGGAAGCCATCCGCACCCTAAACACCTATGTGCATTCCCTAGCCCTGCATTTCCCAACCAAGGTGTCGTGGCACCCTGGGTTGTCAACTGGCTTTGTCAGAGGTGCCTTTAAATCTTCACACAGTATCATGCATTTCCATGGTACAGGCGAGCCGGCCACCAACGCCATAGGAACATAAGCTAATCCAGGGCAGGCTGCATCCAGGACCTCCCAATGCATTCAAATAGAGACAGAAGTCTGCCTCTGTCCAGTCCTGCTCCACCATCGCGCACTCTGTCATGCTGCGGCACCACACTGTGGTGTTGATTGTAAGCTAGGACTCTGATGTGAAGGGGGCTTCTGATCTGAAGAGAGGACTCTAATCTGGAGGAGGGAACTCCACATCATTTTTATTTTTTTTGCGTGGTGTTCCCCCTTAAAATCCATACCAGGCTCCTATCTAGGATAAGGGTCTGGTATAGATTCTGGGAGAATGATGAGGACACTTGTCTTTTTGTTACATTTTTACATTCTAGACTGGGGTACCTAAAGATTTCGGATACTTTTAAAGGATGTTATGATCAAAAAGAGGTTGAGAAACGCTACCCCAGTCTATTAACAAATAATCAAATTAACACTTACAGACAATTGTTTTGCTGTCAGACCGGCATGAACTGCTGACTGGTTATTGGATTTCAATGTCTGAAAATCTGGAGCTCCAATGAACACAACATATGGCACAAACTCTGCTGTCCTGAGGACTTTTACTGCCTGTAGAAAAATATAGGCGAGATCGATAGCATTATACTTGTACAGTTACAAATTTGTGCATTTCTGTTTATTTCTGCTTTCTAGCAGGGCAGTGTACCCAGTTCAGGGTGTAAATCATGTATGAGTATATGCATATGCACTATTGCAAAGATGAGTAACGGGGAATTTATATGGTAAAGCCAGCTACAGCTTTGTTCTAGTTTAGGGTAGAATAGGGAAGATATATAACCTCTGTATGATTGTTATTAGCGTGTGCATGTGTGTGTGTTGGTGTAGGCTCCAGGCCTCATTATACCACAACTGCGGTTATCCTCTATGGTGGAAGAAACTGCTTTCACAACATTTAGGGAAGAAACCTGGAGATAGATAGATAGATAGATAGATAGATAGATAGATAGATAGATAGATAGATAGATAGATAGATAGAAACTGTGTGCTGGCAGCGTTGTAAGTACTAAAAGATTATGAGCACAAGGTTCAGTTCCTTGACAAAAGAGATTTCTACGTGTAGTGTGTGACAGACAGGCTAGGACTTATTTTGTACTCTATGTTTTTTTCCATCTCACCTGAGGGTTGACATCCAGCACACACATCTTTCCTGATGTCACCACTTCCTGTATGGAGCTAATCTTTGTGCCGTACAGATTGCCCTCATATTCACCATGCTCCAGATAGCGGCCACCTTTTATGTCTTGTTCCATCTCTGCACGTGACACGAAGATGTAGGACTGACCATCCCACTCTCCATCTTTTCTCTTCCGGGAGGTATCTGTATGAGATCAAACGACCGGCTGATCATATATAGTTTTTATTTATTTATATAAAGTTGTGCTTGTTCTTCAAAGGAGTTAAAGCCATTTTGAGTTGATCCAAGCTTCAGCCTGTCAGCTCATTGAGAATGGAAACAAAACCCTGCCAAACCAGATAAAACCAGCATCATTGAAGAGCTGTACAGTGGGATTCCCCACTGGGTCGATTTCTCCCTACTATGCCTGGCTAACAAGCAAGCTTGCAGTATCGCTAGCCAAAGTGGTTTCTCCATACGTACCTGTGCAAACTCCACATACAGTATATTCTAATGAAGATTTCACTAATGGGCTGATGATACACTGTTGGCATGAAATGCGCTCTTCATCAAATATTCAACAAAACCTATTTTATTGCAGATATAGGCCTACAGAAACTCACATGGTGTTGTGGTGCCATATCTCAATGGGTCAGATGTCAGCAGTTTGTTCTTCAGGCTCCTCCTCCCAACTCCCTGGGCACCAATGAGAATGAGGGTCTTTCTTCGGAATGGAGGCATTTTTGCTACTTCTTCGTATATGAGTAGTTCATGGCGGTCAAACTCTACAAGTAAGAAATCATGGATGACACGTGTTTACATAGAACAAATAATTTTTGGAAGTGAAGCCAATGCACATTATTATTATACAGGATTTATATAGCGCCAACCGTTTGTGCAGTGCTTTACAATATAACGAAGACATTACAATCACAATACAATTGAAGACAAGATGGTAAGGAGGGCCATCTACATACACCCTCATACCATCAAGGGCATATTTTAAATAGAATTTGTATTTGTTGCATGGGTTGATGTGGGGATCCCTGGTTTCGTCTCATAAATCAATTTTTCAGGAGGGTCAGGCTACTCTTATCAACTGGCTCTAGTGTGTCTGAATGACTGTAAAATAATGTTAGAGCGACAGTCCTTTCAGGAGAGGAACTGATATCAATTGACCTGATGGCCAAGTTTTGGGTGAATTGATGAGATGAGACATTATTTATTCTAAGAGTTGAAAGATTTTATTCCCCTTATTCAGGTCCCCCATACACACGCACACAGATATAAATATATTGACCCTGAGTTTGAAAGATTTTACCTGCGTTTTTGGTGGTCACGTACATTATCCTCTTCTTTTTCTTTCCTCCAATACTTCCACAAAGAGCACCTATCAACACCAACAATTTGTTAGAAAAATCAGATCCATGATTGTATACATTTTTATTTATATGCCACAAACAGCAAATGAGCAAAGTGCAGCAAACCATAGCAACCGAATAAAAGTTATCTTTCTTTGATTTGAGAGCAGTTACCTAAAATCTGGTTACTTTAGGATACAGCACTTTGCATGTTATTACTGCTGTTTGAACTACCTTTAGAGCCACATAAAGACCTTTGGCTGAGAATGATGGGCAATGAGAGTTAATCCTCTAGAACCTGCTGTGACTTCTCTCCCTAACTTCGCCATAGTACAGAGAATGTGTTAAAAAGCGACTGTTTCCCCTTTATGTGGACAAACCCTTTAAGTGAATGGTAGGGTTGAGCTTCCACAGTCCTAACATGCATAGAAAGAGAAACAGACAAGGCAAATGAACTGAAGGATGAAAGAAGTATGCATTACACAGGGTCTGTGACTAATTACATTTAGGTAACTGAATCTAAAAGCTTTTTAAGGAATCATGTGGTGAATTGCAATTCAAGTGGAACTCCAGCAGCTAAATTCACAGTTAAAGAACATATATGTTTTATTGTTTTACCTGATTGTCACCTGTTTGTGCAGCCAGTTTTATGATGTAGAAACCATTGCCAGCCATATCACCAAACGTTACAGCAGCAGCGGCCCAGTTGGTCAAGAGCACAACCCCAGCTTGCTGACTGCATTTTCTTAGTGATTTTATATCTGCCTAGAGTTCAACTTTAGAGTTAAAAACAAAATGTGAAATGCAGTAACCTACAAGAACCAATAAGTAACCTTTGAACTAATGAAAACTGAATGTTAATCAGTTATTTGTATAACACATCACTGCTGTTTGGGCAGCCTTAATATAAAGGCCAAGTGTGCTCAAACTGCATTTAGGCAGACATGGAAGGTTACTCACTAGAGTTTGGAGTCAGCTCACCATCTCTTTTAACAAATGCTTTTCTCTTCTCCTCCAGAAGCTGGCTGGGGATGAGGCCTGCAGATCCACCTTTCACAAGACATGCCTGGGCATGAGAGATAGTAAAAAGAGAAAATTCAGTAACACCTGAAGAAGCCCTCTGCAAAACAGTTGTATTCTAGCACAGCCTTTCTTCACCAGGGTTCTGTGGCACCCTGGGGTGACTTCTGGCTTCCTTGGGTGGCCTGGCCTCCAGCACCATGTAAATGAATGACAGTAATCTAGGGAGGATGGGATCCATTCAGAAGATTACAGTCTGCTCTGCCTCCCATCCTCCTCTGCCACGCTGCAGCAGCTCCTGATGTGATGGTGGGAGTCTAATGTGAAGAGGAAGACGGAGGATTCTGATGTGAAGGAGGCACTGGGGACTCTGATGTGAAGGGGGGCTGAGGACTCTGATGTGAAGGGGGACCAAGGGCTCTGATGTTAATGGGGACCAAGGGCTCTGATGTGAAGGGGGACCAAGGGCTCTGATGTGAAAGGGGAAACTGAGAACTCTGATGTGAAGAGTGACTTCTCATGTGAAGGTGACTTCTCATCTGAAAGAGGGGACCCTGATATGGAAGGGGGGCTCTTATGTAAAGGGGCAACTGTGATGTGAAGGGGGGCATCTAATGTGAAGAGGGCTCCTGGTGTAAAGGGGAGAGTCTGATGTGAAGGAAGGCAGACCCCTGTCTTGGATACGTTTTTCGACTGGGGTGCCTTGAGATTTTGCATACATTTAAATGGTTCCATGATGGAAACATGGTTGAGAAACTCTGTTTTAGCACCATTCATCTGCCTATTACTTACATAGTTAGTTAGATTAAAAAACAAAAGTCTATTGAGTTTAACCAAAAATAAACACAATTAAAACATCTTGCATTATCAGAACCCTTAACCTGCAGTTGATCCAGAACAAGGGAAACAAATCCTTTAAATCTGGTAATATTTACTGTAACAGGGAAAACATTTTCTACCTGATCCTGAAAGGCAATAGGATACTCCTGGATCAACACTCCACAGTGTCATAATGTATCATTATAAATGGCCAATTATATTTTTGCATTTGAAAAAATACCCATCCCTTTTTGAAGCAAACTACTGAGCTGGCTAGAACATCTTCTGTGGAGGTTAAACCTCTTTTACTGCCGGCACAAGGAGTGTCCCCTTGTCTTTTGCAACACTGAGACATGAAATCCAGCATTTCAGAAATGGAATATGTGAACCATACAATGACAGACAGCCAGGGCCGGCCTTAGGCCTTTAGGCGCCCTGTGCGGCCGCACTGCTCGCACACCCCTAAGGCCGGCCCTGCAGACAGCTGCCTGACTTGGAGAGCTAAGACCAACCACAGTACTCCAATGTGTGATAATAATAATAATATTCTCATTTGCTCTTTGCAGCTGAAGACAGAGAGATCAGAGCTGATAGAAAGACAATTATCTAACACACTGGAAAATTACTGTCTGTGATAACAGCACTTCTGATGGATGAGCTGCTCATTATGGTCTTTTAGGGAGGTCATAAAGGTTCCAGTTGTTGCAAGTGAGGATAGAAAAATCAGTAGATTAAATATTGTTGTTACTGACCTGCCACCAGTTAGGGTCTTCCTGGTTGACAATCTGCAGGAGGTCTCCTGCTCGGAAAGCCAACCCTGCCTCCTTACAGGGGATCAGACTGTCATTAGAAGGGTCGTAGCTGAAGTGGCACTTTACAAACACCTGCAAATTAAAAGACTTGTTTTATTATGTTATTTTATAATAAGCCCTAAAGTACTTAACATATGTAAATGAATAGATATGGACTTCAAGAAGGTGGGCTGGTAGTATCAGGTTCTTCATATACAAAAAAAGGTTTAAGCAACCCTAAAAGTTCTGCTCCCATTGCATTATTTATCAGGCATGTACCAGATCCTCACTGTATGTACTTCTGTCTTCTGCTGTTGTACCTGTCTCAGGGGATGCTGCTCCTGATAGCTCGGGAGTATTTTCAGCACCACGCTCCCGCTGGCCTCCCGCAACATCTCCTGTAAAGCTTGAGGGTCGCTTCCTACCTCCCGTCCATTCACCTCCCTTATGACATCTCCCACATGAAGAAGACCTTGTTGATCTATAACACCACCATGCAGGATTCGTGCAATCACCAACTCTCCACCCTCCACACGGAAAGTCACACCCTGGTGGAAGAGATGGACAAAAATGTATTCTTAGCAACAACAATAATAAAGGAAATTACAGTAGTGGAATATACCAGAGAACTTTAACCCATATCCAGCTTACCAAATGCTCCCCTGCATTTTTCCTGACACCCACCATACGCACAGCATCAGGTGGAACGGGCTGGTTGCTCAGGGTAGGATCCAGAACTGGGCTTGGTGGAGGGGTCTCATAGTTCTTGGAAGCCACGGAGTCATGAGTTTGTAAAAGAGACTATAGAATAAGAAGATAATAACATGTAATAATCTAGGGTTCGATACTGCCAATAAATACTGTTGTCATGGATACTGAGTTTCTTCCTCCACTGTTACACTGTTGAAAACTGTTTAGAGATCCTAGAATACAAGCATTAGGGAACTACTGACTGCAGCTGTACTCAGGTCAAAACAAGGGAATATGAAGCTTCATATTGGTAAAATGGTATTTCTTTTTCTTAAAAGGGGACTACCTGGAAAACTGAAACACCCCTACCAGTTTGGAAACTGCATCATGGAGGGGTTTCCCCCGCACATACAACTCTTGCTGTTTTGTCATTTTACAGAGATTCCAGTGGATCCCAATCCTAAAATGACATTGGACTTCAAATATTAGTTCCCCAAAAACTGATATTTCAGTTTTTATTAGATGCTGGACAGTTAACCTACCTGACAGCTTCTTCTGTCTCTCGGAAACTTTATTGGTAAGATCTCTGCTGAGTTCCTGGATCTGCACACCCACTGTGAACATTATGAGGGGTTCCCACTCTCCCTACTGTATTTTTTTAATTAATTTCATATTATGAGTACTATAACAAGAGGAGTTTAAATACATAAAGCTGGGCATGAAGACCCTGCACTTCATGGTATACAGGGACAGAGTCTGGAATAATGGTATAAAGATATTGCTTTTGGAGTATCCAAGACATTTAAGAAGCCATGGACAGACTCAATGCACCAGGCTCCACCAAAACAACTTTTGGGTGGACTGATCCTTTTATTATAGAGGACAGCAGTATCGGGAATCCACTAGGGTTTCATGGGAGGTTAAGAAAGGCAGGACCCATTTATGTTACCAGGTTTGGAAATCCCTTGTAATTACCACTGTTGGGACATCACTTGGGTTGAACGTGGTAAAGAATATTAAAAGGGTACCAAAAAGCACAACATCTCTTCTAAATAAACAAAACCCCTACTTTCTTGCATGCTGGCCTGCCTATGACCTGTCTATGCACATTTGCTTGCTTTCATTTAGGGAGATCGAGGTGCTGCCTGTTCACATTCAGTGCATGGATATTCAGCATAATGATTGACGACAATAGGTTAAAGTGCGAGACAAATAAAGACAAGGGATATTTGTGCTACCTGGAAATGTGGCTCCTGCAGGATCTTCTGTAGCTCAGCAACTGCCCCATTGGGTTCTCTGGCTGCAGTGTGCAGATCCTGGAGGATCTCCTGGACCAGCTGCAGATTATTCTCTCTCACAGCTTCCAGACGGGTTTCCTCAATCCGCTCATGAGGCTACAGTGGAGGAAAAAGTAGTAGTGGTTAAATAAGGACAAATGCATAATAAAATAATATAGGAAAAAAATACTCTTACTGAGAAACTGCTGTTATATTCAATACAAATCAGACTTCAAGGAGAGCAATTTCAGGCAACAAGTGAAACCAATCAGTGAGCTCCTATTTCTATCCAGCAATTGTGCAAAAGTTAGAAAGCCGATTCAGTTTATTTACTTCTGTGATCCACATCACCATTTAGAGTGCAACTCACAGAGTCACTGGGAGTGGAATTTCTGTATTCTGCACTATTTAACTTCCCTCAATCTGTTCCTTTATGTCCATTTTTAGATTTTATGAATTACCTTGGTTTGGACATGATCATTCATTAAATATTTATAACAAAATTATTATTTTGGAACCTTGCCTATTCCCTATGCCATCATACACCCAATGTCAGAATAATGTCCTCTGGCACCCAAGGCTAAGATGCCAGAGTGCACACACCCTATTAACCAAACTGAAACAGATGAAACTTACGCATTCAACAGCGGGGCCAGCACAGGGTGCAGAAATGACAGCCACTGTCCACTGGCCCTAGGGTTGGTCCAAGGATGGCAGAACGTGATGGGGAATTAGTTACGACATGGTAAAACCAGTGTGATTTTGTCATTATCAGCATGTTAAACATTAACATTATGGCCAATCTCTGTCCTTTTTACTTACTGTTGGACTCTCCATGATGCCTTTGAGGAAGATCAGGTCCAGATCGGAGGAAGGAGGGAATTCAGAAAACGGCTGCAGGATTTGCTGCATGGCTGAAAGACAAGGAGAATTAGAGGCATATGACCAAACATTTGTGGACACCATTACTCCTGTATGAGCTTTTTGAACATCCCATCCCAAAATCATAGTCATTAATAAAGAGTCAGTCCCCATTTAAAGTCATAACAGCCTCCACTCTTCTGGAAAGGCTTTCCACAGGATTTTGGAGGGTACCTGTGGTAATTTGTGCTCATTCAGCCAAAAGAGCATTTGGGAGATCAGCTACTGATGTTGGACAAAAAGACCTGGCTTGCAAATCAATGTTCCAAATATCCTAAAAGGTGTTCAATATGGTGGTGGTCAGAGCTCCATGCAGATCGCTCAAGTTTTTCCAGAGTGAGTGCATGTTGAGAAGAAGTGACTAAAAGATCAGAATCCCCGAGATGCCAGAAAGGAGAAAATGATATTTTATAAAAGAGAACCACGGCATTTGTTCATAATACAAAGTGCTTTTGCAAACTATGTGTCATCCAGCTGGGGCTTAAGTTTACCGGCTTTACACCTTTGTGTTGCAGTAACACACATTCCCAGAATAGGGTCTGGTGTGCTTTCTTGTGCTCCGGGGTGTGCTGGCAGCCCACTGAAAATGAACGAGCTGCCTTAACACAAATCACATCAACGTACAGCGTAACTCACGTTAATATGTGTATGTTAACGCATCAAACAGGTGTGAAGTCGGCCTACAGGATAGGTGGAGCTGAAAGCTGCACCAACAATTTCACAACTCGCTGCCCCACCTTTGGTCACATGACATCTTAGTGCTCACAAAGCAAACAGTTATATGCAACTGAGGCTGCTGCTTTAAGTAGTTGCTTTAAAAAAACATAAGATGGAATCTGTCCGGCTTTTCTAACAGTTTAAGAATAATCTGTGAAGTAGATAAGCATTTGGAATAGTTAGCATGCAGTCTTACAAAACAATTACCTTCCTGGTGTAAGTCAGACTCTTCTGTAAAATCCATAGATAACCCCTCTTTGGGCAGCTCAGGGCTGCTCATAGCGTCTCTTCTGCTATTCCTGATAGCTTACTGATCTTCTCCCAGTTGCACTCTCTCTGACTTTCCCTCTTTCCGATCTTCTCTCTGTTGCACTCACTCTGACTTTATTCCATCCCCAATACCGCTCTGTCTTTGCTGGTACTCTCCGTGCTTCCTACGCCCATCCCCATCCTCACATGTCGAATAAGGGCAAGTAGAGAGATGGAAAGTCACAGTGACAGAATCGAGCTAGCCAGTGGTTATAAAAACCACCAAACGCATCCGCAGCCTTTCGGTGAACCCATCAAGGGGTTAAAAAAAAAGCCCACAGTAGAGCTGCTCGACCAATAAAAACGCAGGGCAAGAGGCATGCTACACCTCGATTGGACGGGGCCAAAAATTGTACATACTACGGAATGGAAATACGGGGAGGAACTGGTGGGTTTCCTGCTTCACAGGACACAAAGCCTGCCGTCCTTCCTCCCCTCCTCACAAAGCCCCCTTTAAGACTTGGTGCTTTGAGCATCACTCTCTAGTTTCCATAGTAACCAGAGGATTACACAGGATGGGTACCAGCCATGATGCTGACCTGGTTAACCCTTGCGCAGCTGAAACAGAGGAGTTATTTTATACTGCCATATTGCTGACCTACTTTTTATGCGGCGCTGTCATACATAACATCATAATGTAACAGATGATAAATCTTAGTCTATCTATAACAAAGATATGTATACGTATTCATATTATAGATCAAACAAGAACAAATGCAACCTATCCTTTAACATATATCTTTGTGATGTAATCAATTACATTTAGAGAGAGGTGATGTCACTCCATTCAATATGAAATATATCGGCGCAACTGATGCATTTTAAACGCATTTAATGGTAGAACTTCTTACTATCTACATACAGCGTATACCTTATTGTACACTAAAACATAATTAAGGATAATGTACATCTCGTCAAAACCAGAAGGATATTAAAAGTCACATAAAATGTTCTATATAGGTAGCAGCCAAGTACAGCCGCAATAAAGAGAACCGGTTCTGGCAATCATCTGCTATATAGTAAAACGTACATGCTATATGGTACACAAGGGCAATGTACATGCCTAACACTGATGTAACTAGGGCAGATGTATTAATATGTGCTGCTCGTCCCACCTACCATCCACAAAAGGGAAGGGGGGGGGAAGTTGTGTCGCACAGGGAGGCTGTATAGTGTGACATGCTTACAGGAACAGGCAGAGGATATCGCTGAGATAATAATAAGCCACAAAAAAAGGCAGATGTAGATGGCGAACAGTGAGATGAGACAGGGCGCCTGGGATGCGCTAATAAAAGACGTGACAAGACGGGCGAGAACAAGCTTTATGCTGGCTTCTGATTTATTATTATGCATACTATGAGGCTAAGAACAGGCGGTTCAGATGCATTTTTAAAGCTTCACAACAGTCTAGTAACCCTCATTAGTAATTGTTAAATGGACAGCTGACAGTGTAGTACACATGTGAAAATCTGGCCGCCCTCAAAATGATCTTGCATGCTGCGTTTGGCCGGCTATGCCACTTCTCAACCACCTCTGTTCATCTAATGCTATAGGTGTGTTAATCCTATAGGGGTGTATTAATGCAATAGGGGTGTATCAATGCTATAGGGGTGTATCAATGCTATAGGGGTGTATTAATGCTATAGGGGTGTATTAATGCTATAGGGGTGTATTAATTATATAGGTGTATTAATACCATAGGCATGTTAATGCTATAGGTATATTAATGCCATAGGCCTGTTCATGCTATAGGTGTATTAATACTATAGGTGTATTACCATAGACATGTTAATGCTATAGGTGTATTAATGCTATAGGGGTGTATTAATGCCATAGGGGTGTAATAATGATATAGGTGTATTAATGCCACAGGCATGTTAATGCTATAGGTGTATTAATCCTATAGGGGTGTATTATTGCTATAGGTGTATTCATGATATAGGTGTATTAATGCCATGGTCATGATAATGTTATAGGTGTATTAATGCTACAGGTGTGTTAATGCTGTAGGGGTGTTAATGCTATAAGGGTGTTAATGTTATAGGTGTATTATTGATATAGGTGTATTAATGATATAGGCGTGTTAATGCTATAGGTGTATTCATGATATAGAGGTGTTAATGCTATAGGTGTATTGATGCCATAGGCATGGTAATTCTATAGGTGTGTTCATGCTATAGGTGTATTAATGATATAGAGGTGTTAATGCTATAGGTGTATTAATCCTATAGGGTGTATTAATGCTATAGGGGTGTTAATGCTATAGGTGTATTAATGATATAGAGGTGTTAATGCTATAGGTGTATTAATGATATAGAGGTGTTAATGCTATAGGTGTATTAATGCTATAGAGGTGTTAATGCAATAGGTGTATTAATGCCATAGGCATGTTAATTCTATAGGTGTGTTCATGCTATAGGTGTATTAATGATATAGAGGTGTTAATGCTATAGGTGTATTAATCCTATAGGGTGTATTAATGCTATAGGGGGTATAAATGCTATAGGGGTGTTAATGCTATAGGTGTATTAATGATATAGAGGTGTTAATGCTATAGGTGTATTAATGATATAGAGGTGTTAATGCTATAGGGGTGTATTAATCATATAGGGGTGTATTAATGCTATAGGTGTATTAATACCATAGGCATGTGAATGCTATAGGTATATTAATGCCATAGGCCTGTTCATGCTATAGGTGTATTAATACTATAGGTGTATTACCATAGACATGTTAATGCTATAGGTGTATTAATGCTATAGGGGTGTATTAATGCCATAGGGGTGTAATAATGATATAGGTGTATTAATGCCACAGGCATGTTAATGCTATAGGTGTATTAATCCTATAGGGGTGTATTATTGCTATAGGTGTATTCATGATATAGGTGTATTAATGCCATGGTCATGATAATGTTATAGGTGTATTAATGCTACAGGTGTGTTAATGCTGTAGGGGTGTTAATGCTATAAGGGTGTTAATGTTATAGGTGTATTATTGATATAGGTGTATTAATGATATAGGCGTGTTAATGCTATAGGTGTATTCATGATATAGAGGTGTTAATGCTATAGGTGTATTGATGCCATAGGCATGGTAATTCTATAGGTGTGTTCATGCTATAGGTGTATTAATGATATAGAGGTGTTAATGCTATAGGTGTATTAATCCTATAGGGTGTATTAATGCTATAGGGGTGTTAATGCTATAGGTGTATTAATGATATAGAGGTGTTAATGCTATAGGTGTATTAATGATATAGAGGTGTTAATGCTATAGGTGTATTAATGCCATAGACATGTTAATTCTATAGGTGTGTTCATGCTATACGTGTATTAATGATATAGAGGTGTTAATGCTATAGGTGTATTAATCCTATAGGGTGTATTAATGCTATAGGGGTGTTAATGCTATAGGTGTATTAATGATATAGAGGTGTTAATGCTATAGGTGTATTAATGATATAGAGGTGTTAATGCTATAGGGGTGTATTAATCATATAGGGGTGTATTAATGCTATAGGTGTATTAATACCATAGGCATGTGAATGCTATAGGTATATTAATGCCATAGGCCTGTTCATGCTATAGGTGTATTAATACTATAGGTGTATTACCATAGACATGTTAATGCTATAGGTGTATTAATGCTATAGGGGTGTATTAATGCCATAGGGGTGTAATAATGATATAGGTGTATTAATGCCACAGGCATGTTAATGCTATAGGTGTATTAATCCTATAGGGGTGTATTATTGCTATAGGTGTATTCATGATATAGGTGTATTAATGCCATGGTCATGCTAATGTTATAGGTGTATTAATGCTACAGGTGTGTTAATGCTGTAGGGGTGTTAATGCTATAAGGGTGTTAATGTTATAGGTGTATTATTGATATAGGTGTATTAATGATATAGGCGTGTTAATGCTATAAGTGTATTCATGATATAGAGGTGTTAATGCTATAGGTGTATTGATGCCATAGGCATGGTAATTCTATAGGTGTGTTCATGCTATAGGTGTATTAATGATATAGAGGTGTTAATGCTATAGGTGTATTAATCCTATAGGGTGTATTAATGCTATAGGGGTGTTAATGCTATAGGTGTATTAATGATATAGAGGTGTTAATGCTATAGGTGTATTAATGATATAGAGGTGTTAATGCTATAGGTGTATTAATGCCATAGACATGTTAATTCTATAGGTGTGTTCATGCTATACGTGTATTAATGATATAGAGGTGTTAATGCTATAGGTGTATTAACCTTTAAATGGAAGAATGTTTGTTACAGTGCCTGTGCAATACCTTTGATTTTTTCCAGCTGAGAACCACATTCACTTCCAGAATTTCACTAGTTTGGATAAGAAGCGAATTTTGCACCCTTCTCCTGCTCACTGCAGTCAAAAACGATCCTCCAATTTACTTGTTCAACCTTGTCCCAGAAGTGAATTGGTAAGCAGGGGTAAGCAACCTCAACACTCGCCACCTACAAATCCTTTCATGCCTGTCTCCGGGAGTCACGCCTGTAGCTGTCAGAGTCTTGCAGTGCTTCATGGGACTTGTGGTCCTACAACAACTAGACAGGCCCGGCGCTAGCGCAAGGCAAGTCAGGCGGCCGCCTTACGGCGCTGCAGGGTGAGGGCGGAAAAAACAGGGCATTTTGACAAGTACTTGTACTTGTCAAAATGACGCAAAAATGCACCTTGCCTGTGTAGGCACGAATCCTAGCACCGGCCCTGCAACTAGAGTGCTGAGGTTGGGTGGATGCGGCGAGGTCGATTCTTATTTATTCTGTACAGCACACAGCTGGTTAATAATAGCCGCAGTTGTGTCGGGGTCTTTTCTGAATACTTTACACCTTTTACATCCTGTGAACACTTACCATGGGAGTGAGAGGGGCAGCAGGGGTGTGGAATTACTATATCCCGACGCCCAGGACATGCAGTTCCAGGCACTGGGTGGGCAGTTTTAATCTACATTTAGCCCTGCTTTGGGGAAGCAGGGCTAAATGTAGAGCGGGGAAGCCGCCGCTCATATGTACAGGGTGATCTCGGCAATGTCACCGAGATCACTTGAATGCAGCCAGCAGGTCTGTCCCTCCCGCTGCTGCGGGGATGGGGGGTTCATTGAGGAACCTGGTCTTGGGGCAGCCGAGAAAATAAATCTGTCCCTGTTTATAACCGAGGGAACC